ACAATATTGGAGTCCAAAATTAAAGATTGCAGTTTATTGATAAGCCTTCTATGTGCAACAGTGTCAAAAGCCTTACTGAAATCTAGGTAAGCAATGTCTACTGCACCACCCTGATCTATAATTTTAGTTATCCAATCAAAAAAATCAATAAGATTAGTTTGGCATGATCTCCCTAATGACAACAAGCCTTATATAACTCCTAAAATCACCACCCACTAGGAATGTTTAACACCTGGGTAGGCCTCTGCTTATTTGCAAACAATAGCTAATTAACCAGCAATCAATAGCAAATAACTAGCTTAATCAAATCAAATGCCTTATAATTACCAACAGGAATTCAAACCTTGTGCAATCAGTAACCTTTTCCTACAGATGAATCTTACCTGTAACAGTAGAAAATAAAGCTCTTGGCACAACTCTTAGACCGTTGAAGCTTCTGTAAAACTCTCCAGAATATCTCCAACTACACACTTAGAAGCAACACTTAGGTGAAGCAACCAAGCTAGAGAAGCTTTTGAACTTTTTAAACAAAGGTTTGCTTCTGCTGGCATATTTATACATCATGACACCAACAAACCCTTCATACTGGAGGTTGATGCCTCCAAAACAGGAGTATAGACTGTCCTTTCTCAGAGGCAGAGCCAGGGTACTCATTTGCAGCCATGTGGGTACTTTTATAGAAAGGTGTCTCCGGCAGAGTGTAATTATGATATTGGCACCAGGGAATTGTTGGCCATTATACTAGCACTTAAAGAATGGCTACACCTTTTAGAGGGTTCCAAGGATCCCCCTTTGATCATCACTGATCACAAAAAAATTGCATATATTGGTGATGCTAAACTACTGTTTTCTAGACAGGCCAGATGGTCTTTGTTCGTATCCCACTTTAACTTTATTATCACTTACAGACCTAGTCCCCAAAATGTTAAAGCTGATGCCTTCTCTAGACAGTTTGATATTAAAACAGAACAAGAACAAGAGACGTTCCCTATTGTTCCTCCTGAGTGTATCATTGCTTCCACTATTCTTTCCTTGTCATCCCCTTTGCTTTGTGCTATCATGACAGCTCAATCCCAGGCACCTTGCAATAAACCTATGGATAAATTGTTTATTCAATTGACTGAAAGAAAGGAAGTAATGAAGGTATTCCATGACCGGGGCATCTGGGCATTAATAAGACCATTTCCACTGTCTCTAGATATTTTTGGTGGGATTCACTCAGGGGAAATATTAAGGAATATGTGGATACCTGTTCTGTGTGTGCAGTCTCTAAGGTTCCTCATAAACTTCTGTGTAGATTGTTACAGCCACTTCCTGTACCTAGTGTTCATGGTCCCACTTATCCATGGATTTAATTGTGGAACTTCCATGTTCAAATGGTTATACCACCATCCTTATGGTAGTTGACAGCTTTTCTAAGATGGCTCATTTTATTCCACTAAAAAAATTGCCGTCTTCACAAGATCTGGTTCTTATCTTTATCCATAAAATTGTCAAACTGCATGGTATTCCTTAAAATATTGTGTCATACAGGGGTTCTCGGTTTGTGTCTCAATTTTGGAGGGCTTTTAGTAAACAGCTGGGTATTGAATTATCTTTTTCTTCTTCGTACCATCCCCATACCAATGGTACGGCTGAGAGGGCTAATTAATCTTTGGAATTGTATTTGCGTTGTTTTGTAAATGGCACTCAGGATAATTGTTCTGAATTGCTGACCTGGGCCGAGTTTGCCAGAAACAGTGCTACCCATGACTCCTCCGGACATAGCCCATTCTTTGTCAATAACGGTCGTCATCCTTCTATGTTGCCAGCTGTTTTCTCTGACACTGCTATTCCTGCTCTGGATGATCACCTTACTTCTATTCGTGAGACTTGGTCCAAAGTTCACAACACTCTTGAAACTGCGGCTGCTCGGTTTAAATTTCATGCTGACAAACGGCGGGGTGCTAACCCTGTTTACCAGGTGGGTGAGAGGGTGAGGTTATCATCGCGCAACATCAAATTAAAAATTCCTAGCATGAAGTTTGCTCCCAGATTCCTTGGTCCATTTCGTGTTATTCAAAGAATTAACCCTGTTTCCTATTCTCTGGCCCTTCCAGCATCCTTGCGTATACCTAATTAATTCCATGTCTCCTTGCTAAAACCCCTTATTTGCAATAGGTATAGAGTTCTGACAGTTCCCCCTCCTCCTTTGGTTGTTTCTGGACAGGACGAGTACGAAGTTTCCTCCATAATGGAGTCCAGGTTTTCTCCTGGTTCCTTACAGTATTTGGTGGTCTGGAGGGAGTATGGGCCTGAGGACAGTTCTTGGGTTCCGGCTTCTGACGTACATGCTGGTCGCAAGATTCGTTCTTTCCACGCCAAATTTCCTGTCAAACCTGGTCCTGCCCTCCCGGTGGGCGGTCTTCAGGTAGGGGGTAATGTCATGTATTCAACCTCACCTTTTGGTGTTGGCAATAGGAATTGCCGTGATGGAAGTGCCGTTCAGCGGTCCAGCGCTGGTATACCTGACTGCTGCAGCATATCTGTGGACTCCGGTCGCTGTGGATCCACACCAAATTATAGCCCCACGTCTGCCCATGGTAATGACAGTGTTGACGTAGCGTGTGACGTCACGTAATAGATACAAAAGCACATTTAGGGGTCAAAGGCCGGTTACGGCCAATTGGATCTGCAAGAGAGTTATTTAAACTAATTTCTCCTTTCACTTATTGCCCTGTCATGGTTTCCTTTAGTTGGTGATCTGAGAGTGTGTTCCTGAGCTTTTATTTCTGGTTATTTACTTTGGCTTCATTTTGACTTCCCTGTATTCTGGTATCCTTGACTTTTGGCTTTCCCTCATCGTTGTGTCTCCTTCTGTGTCCCTGACCTCGGCAAGTATTCTGACTATTCTCTGGAACGTTAAGTCTGGCCATTCTAGGGCTCAGTAAGATGTTACCTTTAGTCCTAGGTGTGATATAATTCTACGTGCTGAATCAACTAGTAATCATGACAAGTAGATCACATCCACTGCAACACCCTGATCTATACTTCTACTTACTTCTTCGTATAATGCAATTAGGTTAGTTTCACATGACCTATGTTTCATAACACCATGCTGATTATTGCTAATAACAAAGTTCTCTTCAATGAATTCCTGAATATTATCCCTTAATAGCCCTTCAAATATTTTCCCAGTCACAGAAGTTAAGCTCACAGTTCTATAATTTCCAGGCAAGGATTTTGAACCCTTTTTAAATATAGGAACGACATCTGCCTTCCTTGCAGTCTCCCTGCTGTCCCTGCTGTCCCAGTTGAGATCCTGAGACAATCCTGATGATCTCAGACAATCCAATGCTTCCTCCCCCATAAGAAAGCATTGGGAGGCTTTCTTATTGGGAGGAAGCATTAGATTGTGGCAAACTAACACTCCTCAGAGATGCATTGAGTCAATACAGCTCAATTGGAACATTGCTCTGCAATATTTGCTGGTCAGAGGCAGCAATGTAAATAATAGCTTTTCTCAGAAATTACCTTGTTTACAATGCTCAGCATGCAGAGACAGACTCCATGTTCCATAACCACTACATTGAAGGGTTCGCACCAACTACCATGACTACTTATGCGTTTATAAGTGGTCATGGTGGTAGACACCTGAATGTGATGTGTTTCTTCTTAAAAAGCTGTGCTTGAAAACATTGTCTGACCCAAGGTACATGTATGTATATATATATATATATATATATATATATATATATTCAATTTCTAATATTTACATGTAATTCATTTAAAAATCAAATCTATTTCCTTTTAAAACTTGATAAAAGGATTATTCTATTAAAAAAAATTGTTTTGAGGTGACAGCTGTCCTTTAAATTGTGCCTCAAGGGACAGCCACAAGGCAACATTAAAAAAAAAAGAAAAGAAAAAAATAAGCTTTTTAGTACAATTTTTACTGCATTAAAAAATTACTGGCTATCGGCCAAACTGGGTAAATATCCGGTGGACTGCTGAGGCCAACAAAGAAGATCAAAGGATCTCCTCTACTGGCCCATGCAGAACTGGTACCATTAAAACACTGACCTTGCTGTGTGCCTTCTAGGGAAGGGAGGGAGATCAAAGATCTTCTTCACCAGCCCACTGGCACATTAATCCAGCAAGAAAAGGACCTGGAGGCTAAACATACCTCCAGCGAGCTGGGCATTTGAACGTTGCAGTGTGTTACCATGGCAACAATCCAAGGGACTCGTGAGAGGAGTAAAATCTGCCAGAAGTCAGAGGCTTGCAATGTCCCCCCTCCCTGAGGAACAGGTAAGAAGAGAGGAGAGGTGATATAATGGTTTTTAGGGTTTTTAGGGTTTTTTAATAAATGTTTTATTACTTTTTTTTTTTTTGATTTGTTCCCATCCCAAAGCCTCTTCACAATATATAGGCCACATATACCATCCAACACAGTCACACACAAAGCATTTCTCAATCACATACTCTGCATCCCCTATAACAGTGATGGCAAACCTTTTTGAGCCCGAGTGCCCAAACCGCAATACATGCCAACTTTTTTTCCTTAAAGTGCCAACACGGCAATTAAACCTCAATACTGAGGTTTAAGTTTAGAAAAAAACAACTCGTACTGTTGTCCAAACTAATTAACAACTTTTGTTTTAAAAGAACACAACAGAGAGTTCAATTATACAAATTTTAAATAATGATGTAAATAGATAAAATTAAGCTTATATTTATTAGTATCTCCAACAAATGCAATACATACACACAGACTGCTGAATACATACACACAGACTGCTGAATACACACACACAAGACTGCTGAATACAGAGACTGATGAATACACACACACACAGTCTGCTGAATACACATACAGACAGACTACTGAGTACACACACACAAACTGCTGAGTACACACACACAGACTGCTGAATACACACACACACAGACTGCTGAATACACGCACACACACAGACTGCTGAATACACACATATACTGCATTGAGGGGTGTCGTGTATGTGTTTGTGTGTGGTGTTCTGTGTGTGAGGGGTGCTGTGTGTCTGAGGGTTGTTGTGTGTGTGTCTGAGGGTTGCTGTGTGTGTGTGTGTGAGGGTTGCTGTGTGTGTGCTGTGTGTATGAGGGGTGCTGTGTGTGTGTATGAGGGATGCTGTGTGTATGTGTGAGGGGTGCTGTGTGTGTGTGTGAGGGGTTCTGTGTGTGTGTATGAGTGGTGCTGTGTGTGTGTGAGGGGTGCTGTGTGTGTGTGTGTGTGTGTGTGAGGGGTGTTGTGTGTGTGTGAGGGGTGTGTGTGTGTATGAGGGGTGCTGTGCTGTGTGGGGGGTAGGGGTGCTGGGCGGGGGTAAGGGTGCTGTGCTGTGGGGTGCTGTGTGTGTTGTGGGGGTACTGTGTGGAGGGGTAGGGCTGCTGTGTGTGGGGGGTAAGGGTGCTGTGTGTGGGGGGTAGGGGTGCTGTGTGTGGCACTGTTTCTGTGTCGGGAGGCAGGGGGAGGGATCTGTGAAGCAGCTCCCCTGTCCTCCCGCACGATGCTGTGTGGAGGTATGTCTTTTTGCTGATGATACTAAGATATGTAACAGGGTTGATGTTCCAGGAGGGATAAACCAAATGGCAAATGATTTAGATAAACTAGAAAAATGGTCAGAATTGTGGCAACTGACATTTAATGTGGATAAGTGCAAGATAATGCATCTTGGAAGTAAAAACCCAAGAGCAGAGTACAGAATATTTGATAGAGTCCTAACCTCAACAATTGAGGAAAGGGATTTAGGGGTGATTATTTCTGATGACTTAAAGGTAGGCAGACAATGTAATAGAGCAGCAGGAAATGCTATCAGAATGATTGGTTGTATAGGGAGAGGTATTAGCAGTAGAAAGAGGGAAGTGCTCATGCCATTGTACAGAACACTGGTGAGACCTCACTTGGAGTATTTTACACAGTACTGGAGACCATATCTTCAGAAGGATATTGATAACTTAGAGAGGGTTCAGAGAAGGGCTACTAAACTGGTTCATGGATTGCGGGATAAAACTTACCAGGAAAGGTTAAAGGATCTTAACATGTATAGCTTGGAGGACAGACGAGACAGTGGGGATATGATAGAAACATTTAAATATATAAAGGGAATCAACACAGTAAAGGAGAAGACTATATTTAAAAGAAGAAAAACTACCACAACAAGAGGACATAGTCTTAAATTAGAGGAACAAAGGTTTAAAAATAATATCAGGAAGTATTACTTTACTGAGAGGGTAGTGGATGCATGGAATAGCCTTCCAGCTGAAGTGGTAGAGGTTAACACAGTAAAGGAGTTTAAGCATGCGTGGGATAGGCATAAGGCTATCCTAACTATAAGATAAGGCTAGGGACTAATGAAAGTATTTAGAAAATTGGGCAGACTAGATGGGCCGAATGGTTCTTATCTGCCGTCACATTCTATGTTTCTATGTTTGTATTGAAATTTTAACTCAGTCAAAAGATATACTGAGACAAAATGGGGCTTGTTTGTCTCAGTATATTTCCTCCACCTGACACTTTTTGACACTGGCCAGAGATACCTCTGTGACGAAGTGCCCTTCGCCACTTGTGCCTGGAGAGGACTGCTTGCCCGCCTCTTGACCTGTGACTATGTTCCCTGGTTTGTATTGCCCTTTAAAGACATGATTTGGGCATAATGGATTTGTGTTGTGCTGCTGCTGGCCCTTTAAGAACCATCTGGGGACATACTGTGGAGTTACTGGGTGGCCACCATTTCCTGTATCAGAAGCACATGGTGAGAACAAAGGATGGCGGCCATTTTAACTCACAGACACTGTGTGGACTTTTCAACACGGTGCCATCTCGCCAGTATTTGTTGCACAGAGACATCGTGCGGTGGTTTTGGACTATACAGCAGGGGACACATTATACAGTGATTGTTTTTCATTTAGCCTGTATATGTTCTGCAGAATCTGCATTAAACTGTATTTTCCAAAGTACTGAACGGATCTGGGTGAATTTTGGATATGTGGTTCACCCAGATCCCCCGGTTCCAAGGATATACTTTTTATGGGGTTATTGCATGTTTTGGGGTCCCTGTGTGTTTTATGAAACTGTATTATTTCTGGCCAGCAGATAATTGAGCTTTGTGTATTGTAGAAACTCAATTATCTAGCCTGGCCCAGAGGAGGAGTTTTGTGTTGCATAAATTGTGAGTTCTGTGTGCCAGTAAATTAGTCTTGTTCCAGCATTAAGCCTTGGCTCATGTTTGGGGGAAGGGATACCTACACTCTGGGGATTGCTATAATCACTTACTCCCCAGAGGAAGCTCTTGCAATAGCTTGATTTGTTCCTGTTCCTGCTCTCTGGGGAAAGAGAGGTTCACCCACTGGAAGCTGGATCCTGGCCTTGGGTCCAGGGTGGGTGGAAACAGCAGAGACCCCGGCGCAGTTGCATCGCTGGAAGTGGGGTCTGCAGTGCTGATGGTGTCGGTTGGAGTGCTTGGAGTCCTCAGCGAGCACTAGGAGCATCGATTGGCGGAGGTACTCAGTCGGAGTGCCAGCGTTCCGTCACATTTGGTGGCAGCGGTGGGATGGCGTCCTAGTGCGAGGACCAGCAGCTCGGAGACACCGGTAACGTGTGGAGTTACGGATTTATAATTGAGGGCAACGCTAGCACTTGTGCAGCGACCCTGGCTTCAGAGGAACTCAAGGGATAGAGCTAGCTACGGGCAGCGTCCCTATCCACAGCAACATGGAAGAGGAGTTTCGCTGGAGGTTGCAGCAGCACTTGGCCCAACAGGACGGGCCTGTATCAGAGGAGTGCATATTGGACTGGAGAGATGTCACTCGTACGGAGATGTGGCACGATGCCCTGGAAAAGGTACAACGGCGGCGGGGAGAGAGCCTTCCCAGTGACGAGCAGCGGTTCCAGGTACTCGAGGCCCTGCGCTCCCCTTTCCTAGGGGAGCAACCCTTGGATGAATGGTTGTTGGAACTCTGGGATTTAATTTGGAAGGAGTTGTGGCTAGATGCAGCTTACCGGGCATTAAAGTGGTACGCCACCCAGCGCAACCCCTCGATGACTAACCACTATCTGCCCGAGGGAGAGGATTATAATGGCCCGGGCTTACTGTGGGAGGCCTATGAGGAGGGCGATGACTTTGGATGCCCCACAGAGTTTCGGTTCTGGGACATCCACAACATCAGGGAAACCCTGCTGGATCTTCCCCGAGCGGACGACCTGGGGCCAGACCTGAGTCATCTGGTCGCAATGGAGTGGGGGCTGGAGCAGAGCTACCGACGCCTGTTCAACTTAGCCCAATCACCGTCCCTCGGCCCAGAGGATTACCTGGACACCCTACCCTCTTCTGTCCAACCAGCCCCAGAGGTGAGCAACCTTATGGAATGGTCCTGGGAAGACCCACAGATGGCAGGTGGAGATGGAACCGAGGTCTCTCCACCTGCCCCACAGGGATGCTGGGTACCCGGCCCAGATCCCCAGCGGCAGTGTATCTCACAGGGAGAGGAGACAACCGGTCTCCCTTCCCAGCAGCAGCCTGAGTTCCAGGAGGAGGTGATGGTAGATCCCTCCCCCATACAGCAACCAGCGTCCTGGGGAGGGGAGGCAACCGGCCTCCCTCTCCTCCACCAACCAGAGGTACCTGAGGTAGTGGACCTCATAGACGTGTCCTGGGGACACACAGAGATGGCAAGCGGAGATGGGACCGAAGTCTCTCTGCCAGCCCTACAGGGATGCTGGGCAGTCAGCCCAGGTCCCCAGCGGCAGCATAATATACAGGGAGAGGAGACAACTGGTCTCTCTCCCCAGCGGCGGCCTGAGTTCCAGGAGGAGGTGATGGTCGATCCCTCCACCTTACAGCAACCAGCGTCCTGGGGAGTGGGGGCAACCAGCCTCCCCCTCCAACAGCAGCCAGAGATACCGGGAGAGGGGGAAGACAAACCTAACCACACTGGCGCAGATGGGACCGCGGTCTCTGTGCCATTCCTACAGGGAGGCTGGACGGGCGGTCCAGATCCCCAACCAACCCCGCAGGGATGCCAGGAGGAGGAGGTAAGCAAAACTTCCCCTCCCCAGCTACATCCCAACCGGGTCCTGGGGGCAGTGGATGAGCCTGCGATACCCACTGACCCCCTCCCAGCAGAAGAGCTGGCCTCTGGGCAGAGCTCTGTTAGCCTCTGCCCCCCCTTTTCCCCTGTATCAGAGCCTGACTTACCACGGGTTACCCCAGTGGAAGAGCTGGCAGCAGGGCAGAGCGCCGCTGGCCTCTGCCCCCCAAGCAACACCAGCAGTTTGCCTAGCTGCACCAGGGAGACCGAGAGTGCTGTGCTGTCCCACTACAAACTTGAACCTACAGGCCAGTACCATTTATTGTGGGGGGTTACTCTGTGTATTTTTCTTTGTGGGTGGGCTGCCCGACTAATCTAGGTACTGACCGGCAGAAGGTCAGGTACCTGTTTAGTCTTCCCCCCAAAGGGAAGATGTGTGACGAAGTGCCCTTCGCCACTTGTGCCTGGAGAGGACTGCTTGCCCGCCTCTTGCCCTGTGACTATGGCCCCTGGTTTGTATTGCCCTTTAAAGACATGATTTGGGCATAATGGATTTGTGTTGTGCTGGTGCTGGCCCTTTAAGAACCATCTGGGGACATACTGTGGAGTTACTGGGTGGCCACCATTTCCTGTATCAGAAGCACATGGTGAGAACAATGGATGGCGGCCATTTTAACTCACAGACACTGTTTGGACTTTTCAACACGGTGCCATCTCGCCAGTATTTGGTGCACAGAGACATCGTGCAGTGGTTTTGGACTATACAGCAGGGGACACATTATACAGTGATTGTTTTTCATTTAGCCTGTATATGTTCTGCAGAATCTGCATTAAACTGTATTTTCCAAAGTACTGAACGGATCTGGGTGAATTTTGGATATGTGGTTCACCCAGATCCCCCGGTTCCAAGGATATACTTTTTATGGGGTTATTGCATGTTTTGGGGTCCCTGTGTGTTTTATGAAACTGTATAATTTCTGGCCAGCAGATAATTGAGATTTGTGTATTGTAGAAACTCAATTATCTAGCCTGGCCCAGAGGAGGAGTTTTGTGTTGCATAAATTGTGAGTTCTGTGTGCCAGTAAATTAGTCTTGTTCCAGCATTAAGCCTTGGCTCATGTTTGGGGGAAGGGATACCTACACTCTGGGGATTGCTATAATCACTTACTCCCCAGAGGAAGCTCTTGCAATAGCTTGATTTGTTCCTGTTCCTGCTCTCTGGGGAAAGAGAGGTTCACCCACTGGAAGCTGGATCCTGGCCTTGGGTCC